CTCTGTCACCATCGGTGACTCACAGCGGAGCTTGGGGATGTGTCGAGGCCACGAATCCTGGGGCTGGGACAGCCGGCCTGGAGGGTCCCGGTCCACCTTGGCACCCACCTCCACTGAGCACCCAGCCAGCCCACCGGGTTACCTTGAGGGAAACAGGGTGCCTGCCACCAGCGATGGGCAAAGCAGAGCGTCCTCACTGCTGGTGAGCTCACCCTCCCTCCAGCAGAGATTTAGGCTCTGTCCCCCAATCCCCTGCCCATCTTTAGCCCCTGGCTTGTCCTGGTCACGCATGGCTTCTCCCCTTCACCTGGGCACGTTCACTCCCGGGCAGCAGCATTTGGTGGTGAATGACTCAGGTTTTGTCTGCAGTTCGGCAGGGTTCTCCTCTCCCTCCTGGGTGCAGAGACTCCCACCACCTCTAAAGGTTTCGCACCTGCTCCTTCCCTGCCCTGCCAGGCAGGGACTGGGCTCCGAGTCTGCACCCTTGGCGTGGTGACCAGGCTCGAGCTGTCCCGGCTCCAGCACAGGGACACGGGGACCTTCCCTGAGCTGGGCACTGCGTCTGGCTTGCTGTACCCTGGCCGGTCCACGGTGTCTTTCACTTTCACCCACCAGCCTTCATCCCACCTGCCCCACGGGAACCCCATCGCCTCAGATTTAGGGGAGAAGTCAGCAACAGCCAGCTCTTGGGGAGGGGACACCCCTGCCGAGGCCGGGGACAGGCTGACACCGTGCCGGGGGCCCCCGCCCCTCTTGGGGAGGGGACACCCCTGCCGAGGCCGGGGACAGGCTGACACCGTGCCGGGGGCCCCAGCCCCTGCGGGCAGAGCTCCACGACGGCTGGCTCGCTGCAACCCACGGCTCGTCTGCCGGCGTGTTGAAAGTGCCTGTTGTCCCCCGGCCCCGCACGCCCGGCCTCCTCGCAAAGGCAGCGTGGGGCAGGTGAGAAGCCTTTATCTGATTTCCTAAGGGCAGAAAAATCCCTTTGATTTTGCCCCGAAGAGGGGAGCGGGAGGAGGGGGAGCCCCGTCCCTGCGAGCAGGTGCGGCTGGCGCACAGCGACTCGCCTTGTCACGTCCCAGCACCGCACGAGGCTGGAGGGGGACAGGGCTTCCTGGTGCCCCCAGCCTCTACGTGGGACCGGCACCCAGGTCCTGAAAATCCCCGAGAGGGGCTGGTGGGGTGGGATGGGCAAAGGTGGGCTCCTTGCCTTGTGCTTGTAACAGGGGGGCTGGGACCAGGGGGATGCCCAGGGTTCACCCCTGTCTCACAGCTTTTCTCCTCATTGCATAAAAATCTCCCTTTAACAAGGGGGAAACTGAGACTTGGAGATGCCGAGACCTGCTTAAGCAGCCGGGGGGTGATTGCCTGCTCCCCCAGCCCCAGGAGTGTGCTCACCTAACCCCCCCTTCCACAACAAGACCCAAAGGGCCACATCCTTCAGGGGACAAGGCCACAGTGGTGGCATTGAGACAGGGCTATGGGCGACAGGGATGCCACTACCACTACCTCGAAGCAGCCTTCTCCTCCACAGCTGATCCTCTGTCTCTGCCTTCCCTCCCCTCTTGCAGCT